GACGCTTACAGACCCGAGAACGCGTGTACTTAATAGTATCCTGTCGGTGCTTGGTCGGCGCTAACAGTGTAGACAGGAACGACCTCCGCATGGGGAGATAACTGATCTCCGAACGGGAAAATGTGAATTCTTACAGCCGGCCTAGCTGAGTTGTAGGGACTAATTTCGGTGGCCAGTGGCGTACTTTCAGGCTATGCATATGAAGTTAGTAAGCTTGTAGTCTGTCCATGTTCCACATTTCCGAGGCTCGTAGTCCGTCCATGTTTCATATTTATGTCGATGGAATCTGCAGAAAGAGCGATTAGTCCGGCAGTTCATGTCGATCCAGACTCGAAGGGAAGAAGATACGGTGGGAATTGCTCAAGTGGATGGCCCTACATATGTCTCTGGAGTTCGACGATTGTCGCAGCTTGCTACCCTTCAAAGTCAGAAGTACCCTTCGTAAGGCAATCCTTGGATCGACATCGGGTTCCATCATGGTGACTTTGGGACATCCTTGGGGTTTGGGTCACAGACGTGTGAGCTAATGCGCCCACTCCGAGTCATCCCACCTCGTGGTAGACTCGATGGATATCCTTGTCTATGGATAGCAGGCCAATAGCAGGCCCCCAAAGTTCATGCATCCAGTCGCCTTGCTAGCGCAGCTGGCATGTAGCCTATGGACACAAATAACGTCTCACCTCACGACAGCGATCATTGCCCAAGGGCCGGTGCCGCCAGTATCCATTTACGTTCGCGCGCCCATCGCGCGCTCGCCTCCATACTCGGGAGTGGTGAGCGCGAATCCGTGGATGAACACCCGATAGTAGTTTGCTCGGTAAAGATAACTCCTCAAGGGTCCTGAGAAAAACAACTCCAATGCGTCTGCAGTGCCGTATTCCATATGGCCATCCTGTTGAACGGGGTCAAGGAAGTAGCAGGAAAGGCGGCACACAGAAAGCGGCTCACGGCGTAGAAACATATGCTGCTCCAACCTTCCCACTGGCATACTAGTAGCAGAGCCGCGATGCCCGAAAGGCATGCTACGTGCTAGACTGGGAAATATTCGCTCAAGACTGCCAAGCAGCTGCGCAGACTGTACGAATCTCAGAGGATTACCTTGTCGCGGCCGAGGACCCCATTATCCAAACTTGAACTTTCTGATTGTGAGATCCTATCAGCGTTATTGAGGCTTTGCCCCCGGGCCAGCCTGGCAGCGTTCAAGCCACTAATTTGACTGGCACTCGACTCGCGTGCCGAGTGCGAGTGGAAGCCAAACAATTGGGTCGAGGATGAACTCGACGTCGGGGTTCTGAGAAGGAGCAACTTAGCCTGTGACCGTCGCGCCGATCAACTCGCGATCATCGCGGCCCGAGCCATCTAGCGCTGTGCTAGGAAGTCGAATGTTAATAACATCACTATAAATAGCATGTTATTAACATGTTAATAACATTTCTAGCCAGACCCCCTCCAAAACCGCCTGCTATTTATTGCTATTTATTATAATATGGTTTAGAAGCTATAGATGGCTCCTCTGAGCCTTCTGAGTTGTTGTTGCCACCTCAGATTCTATGGGATAGCCAAAATAGGGGGTTGAGGTCGGATCACCGGGTGTGTGATGGTCATCACGGTGTGACACCTGTTCTCTCGATTCTTGCGAGGGTGTTTACTCGGGTGCGACGACACTGCGCAGACACCCGGTATGCTTGGAGCGGTGTAGAATGAAGACTGGGACATTGGGGATCCATTTCCAGCATTTATAACACGCGTAGCATGCTATTTATTGATTTATAGCATCAAATAGCTGTTAATAGCTTGTGTCACGTGCGCAACACGTGCCTGCTATATAGCTGTTATTAACAGGTGCTAGCTATGGTCTCGGAGCGTTGGCATTCCTAGCAAAGCTATATAGCTGCTATTTAATTCCTAGCACAGCGCTAGAGCCATCAACTTGATCATGAATTTCCTCAGAGTCAGACTTCTCAGACCTCACTGGAGCCAGCGCACACTACAACTTCAATGCTAAAGTCGAAGCAGTCAAGGTTGACCGCTTCCTGGCCCTCCGATGCAAATTCAAGAGGGCACTACTACTCCTACCACAGGACTCAGGAGCATACCAGCGATTGACTACTTACCAGCCTCGGAGGCGAGTCGAGCAAGCCCGGGGACGACCCTTACCAACAATTTATCATGCTTTCACCCTGAAGGCCCTCCTCATCTGCTTTCTGAACCCTTTTCGATCGCCTCCATGTGATGCCTCCCAAACGTGAAGCTTCGCGCGTGAAGCCTTGACTGCAACTCACCCACCAAGTTGGCGCTAGGACGAAGATGTACAAGCCAGGCCAAAGAGCAATCAGCTAAGGTGAGCACGAATTCGAGAGAATGTTCCACCTTCGCGGGCCATTATAGTTTTGATCGCACTGAAGCCCGCGGCTCGTCGTTCCTGTCGCACCCAAGTCGCACAATCCGGGCCTCCATCCGGTATCTCTACTCAAAAACCATTCACTCGGCGTGCTCAGCGCCAACGCGCGGGAATCGGCCTCGGCAACCAAGTTCTGCATGTATCCGGGCCTGCTCAACCCCGTTTTCACGAGCGCATTCCAGGAAGAGATTGAAGATCCAGCCGGGAAGGCAGGCCCGGGGCAGTACACAGCGGTGTCAAGGTGCGCACTGCTTTCAGTACACACAGTGCTAAGATCCAGCCCAGTCTAGCTGTCTGCGCGCTATGATAGAATGCACGTACCTAGAACAAACCTGGAATGCTTTGTGATTGAGCAAGATCTTCAACGCTAAGAGAAGGGGCCAAAAGGGATCATATGGGCGCCTTCGCGCCAAAAGTGATTCAAGGCATGTCGTCAATCTGTTGAAGATCGCCCACTTCATGGCAAGATATCAGAATCAAAGTGTGCTCATACTAGTACAGTACATACATGTGTGATCGTCTAGTCTGATACGGATGTATCTACTTACATGGTCGAATGAGGCAGAAAGGTCACAAGATATGTTTGCATAAGGTCCGGGCATCAGAGCCAGCCACGACAGAGACATGTCAAAGATGGAGTAGTTCACTGAGGGACATTGCTAGACTGGTACTCGCATTGAGTTGCGGGTTTTCATCAGGGTGTTGCGCAGAAAAAAGAGCGTGAGGCATAGTGCTTGGGAGGGTGTTTGAGTCAATTGGGAATTTGCCGGAGCGTTTTGAAAATGTTCCGATGCTTGAGAGGCTGGTATAGAAGCGATCAGGAAGAGCGGTGGTAGCGTCTTCAGTGTTTCTCAAGGCCAGGGGACTACGAGTAGGGGCCAGAGACGGGGGATAAGAACCGGTGGTGCGGTGATCGCGAGCGGGGGAATCTTCTCCGCGGCTATGTTTTCGCTGCAGATAGTCATGAGGAAACAGATAGATGCGACTCGTGTCCACACACCTTCAGGTTTCGGGATGGAACAGCAGGAAGAAGTCGGGGCACATACGCGTTCGTCAGGGATGATCGACTCGATGGAAGGCTCGTCGTCGTGAGCGGGAGTCCGGTCAGAATCATCCCGGGATCCGACAGATGCTACCGTGGCGTTTTAGGTTCGTGTTGACCGACAGAAAATCTACGCGCCTGCATGTGTGTGTGCCGAGCGGGAGCAGGGACCTCACGGTCATCGTCGTCTCCCTCGCTGCTTTCAAGCTCGTCTCCGTCGCTCTCTTCATCGTCGTCAACCCGATCGCCCTTCTGATCTTCGTAGGACAATTGAGGACTGTCCTCATCCAAAGCGATCGGATCCCGGAGTTTCCTGGCTCTGCGAGTCCTCGGCGTTTGGTGTCGTCTGAACTCTTTCAAGACCAGGAGTTCTACAAGGGGTCATTCGGCGACGAAGCTTGAGAGCGAGCTGGGATACCTGAAGCACAATTACCCCCACTTTGCGAGACCTTCGGCCCTTTGAACATCCTAGCTTTCTTTGAGGGGCGGCTCGAACTAAGTGCGTGTTGAGCAAGGGACAGACAGACGGGGAGAGAGAGCCTCACAATTCGTTATATGCGGCGATTGCCGGGAGGACGAGCGGCCGAAATAGCGCAAGCACGAACGGCGTGACCTTCCCAAGGCCTTTGGTGTCCTCCCACAGGCCCCCAAAGAATATGTTGACGGGTCCCAAAATAGGCGTGCCGTCCAGTACCATGCGCGTCAGACTTGGCCAATTGAGCTTGAGAAGTATTTCCCGCCAAACCGATTCGCTAAGGAAGCACCCCTCGAGCGTCTGCATAAACGCGTTAGCAGGGCTAAGGGGTGATGCACAGACCATACGCCGTAGAGCCCCGTCACACAACCGGCTTCGGAAGAACCGGTGCAGTCCAGAAAGGCGAGCATCAGACCGTATCTCAGCGCATTTCTGCCACGGAAGCGAAGCCCTTCCCGTATCCAGTCCACGGGCGACACGAGAGATTTGAGTGTTTCGCGACGGAGCCAGGGGATCGTAATTCGATATCCAGGCTGCCTGATTTCTGCTACGATGGCTTCGGCAATAGATTTTGACCGTCTGTCCATGGCGCGGAGGGGGTGTCGCTGCAGGTGGATGAGCGGAGGAAGAAAGCAACCATTTGGCATTCGCGTGTGGATGTGTCACAGCCGTTACATCTGTAGCTGGAAGACGGCGGCCCGGTGTCGACGCCAAGTCGACGCGCTATCCCCTCTAAGCTAGGGATCAGAGATATCAAGCCCAAAGCAGAAGCTCACCAGAAAATTGGGGCGGAAGCAGAATTGTGTCTCTACCATTATTTTTCAAGCCTTGAAATAAATCTCCTATATCGATCGACAGCTCGACATTGCCGTGAACACATCTACTGGGGTTCAAAACTCAGAGAATTTGACAGTTTGCTAACGGATGGGCATGGCGAGCAAGCAACTTCAAGTGTTAGACGGTCCCGGTCACCGCCCATCTCGTGCCATATTTCACAGCCACGATAATCCTGACGAGCTACCACGCCTGCGCCACTGCCAAACCGTACCCCACATATGTTACACTAAAAGCTTTGTATCAGTGCCTCCGTGGCCAAACGGATAATGTTGTTATTTATCTGGGACGTCTTGACCAGACGTAGCGGGTTCGAACCCCGCAGGAGGCACAAACAGACTGCTGCGAGCCGGTCAAGAAGTGCGACACGCCGCCGCGGGGTGATCCAGTACTGGTCGTACTGGGGTTGAGAGTTCGTGTGACGCGGCCCGCGATAGCCTTGCCCCATAGGCACCTTTTTGCGCACGATTTCGTTTCTTTTTCTCTGGTGCTGCTGGCTTGTGATCGGGTCGCCTTTAACGACACATCATCTTTTGGTCGAGCCTTTTCACATGAATAAGCATCCTATAGCTATTGAATATTGACTTCTAACGTCACAGACAAGGTATACAGCGAACGATCGTCCCAGCACATACATGAGGGTATTAATTCCGTGAGCTTTTGCATCTACATTATTGCAGCCGCTCTTTTCAAAACCACTGCGCGCGAGGAAATGGATGAGCCGCCGAGGACTCGGAGGAGCGAGAGGACTGCAAGCACCTACCGGGTGGCATTCGCCGCCGTCCCACTTCCACACCCGCTTCGGGTCCCCCACGACCATCCGCGCCTCCATCATCCACTCCCGCTTCTCAAAGTGCCGCATCCACCACGCGACGAGCCAGTGCCGCGTGACGTACCTGTACCACACGTAGTACTTCCACTCGTAGCTGTTGATCACGCGCGGGTTGAGGTACATGCGCTGCAGGCCGAACTGCCGCCGGAGGTCGTACGGCAGGAGGAACGACTCGGACGAGAAGCACTCGCGCGGCGCGGAGCTGCGGAACGCGAGCGGCGGCGTCTGCGCGGGCGTGAGCGCCGCGGGCTGCGGGAACGCGGGGTGCGTGTCCGGGAGCGGCGACGCGAGCGGCGCGGTCGACAGCCGCCCGGGCGTGCGGAGGGCGAGCGGCAGCAGGGGCTCGGCGCGGAACGCGACGATGCCGTTCCAGCACGCGAAGACGGGCACGGGCTCGTCGTCCATGGCGGCCTGCATGCCGACGTCGTCCATGAAGTACGGCCACAGCGACGACACGAGGTTGCCGAGCCTGTCGCGCAGGACCCAGGCGTCGTACATCCTTGTGACGGGTTCGTGAGCGAAATTAGTATAGGGAACGGAGAACGAGCGCACCCCCAGCGCGCCAGATCCAGCCCGCAGACCATATCCCACTCGCCGTTCTTCGTTTGCAAGAGCTCGATGACCGACTCCGCTGCGATGAGGACGTCGTTGCTGAACACGACCACGTCGTACCCGCCCTTCTCGACAAGTGGGGCCAGGACCAGGTTGCGCTCGGCGGCGAGGAAGTCGATGCGGTTGTTCCCACCCATGTCTGCTAGCCTGTCAGTTTGCTCGCGGGGAGATACGAGGATGCACGCACCTCCCGGCCGCTTGACTGTCTGGTCGCGGGTGCGGATCAGGTGCGCGACACCCATGGCGTCGAGCGTGCCCTTCCACTCGTCGAGCGCTTCGGCGGTGCCGTCCCAGCTGTTCGACTCGACGATCGAGACGAACACGTTGTCCTGCGGCCGCATCAGCGGGATGGACGGGACAGGCTGCACGGGGCGCTTACGGTTCCGAGGTAGTAGATGACCTTGTTGAACTCTTTGATCCAGTGCGGGAGGATGTCGATGTTGTTGGTGAACATGGCGCCGATGAAGACCTTGGCTGCATGCACATCATGAGCTGAGGGCACGGAACAGAGGGAGTCCTGCGTACTTCCGTCATGGTGGCCGCTTCGCGTCGGGTTCTTGAGGGCAGCCGCCACAGCCGGTCTGTACCGGTAGTCGAGCGGGTTTTCGTAGGTCTCGAACATGTACACCCCGCTGAGCGCCATGGAAAGGAAGACGACGAAGCAGGCGAATGACAGAGAGCAGTACGCCGGACGGGATCGCGGGGCCTTTGGCGTGCGGCCATTTGGGTGCACGTCCTCCATAGGAATCGCCATCTCGTAGTCTCCTCCGCGCCTTCGACGCATGACCCATGGAAACAGGTACTTCACTAGTGACCACAGCAGCACGGCGACCGCCATGCAGAGCCCCCAAGATGGAATGGTCGCCATCAATACGACGAGTTGCGTGCGCGGTTCAGGCCAGGCTGGTACGAACATCCCAGAATCGGGCGGGAAGTAGAAAAGCCAGTAGTCGTTAAAGTAGTTGTAGATGTACCAGAGGGGCACCGTTGGGAGCGTCAAGAAGGCGGTCCGCAGGAGGATGCTGACCACGAAGGAGAGCAGCCAGACGACGGGAGAAACGACGCGGCTGATGACTGGGTGGGTCGTCGCTGCTGCCACTAGCCGCGCAAGAGGTTTGGCCGCTGCACGCGGCCGCAGACGGGCATATTGCATGTTGCGCCATCCATCCTGCATGAAGAGCGCAGAGGGTCGGTGGGCGCGCGCGCCTAAAGCGAGCTTCGAGTTCCCACTGCCGGCGAACGCTAGCCGCGGTGTGTTTGCCGTGTAACTTGCCGTGTTTCGGTCTTATTTTTCGCGGCTCGCCGGCCCGAAGGGTTCCCCAGCGGAGTTTTTGTGGACGTTGAGGACATGCTGAGCTGGGATGGGGAAACTGGGCGAACTCATCGAGATAGTTCAAGTTCAGGCTAGTTTTTCAAATTGTTTCGCGTCGGAATTATCGGCCGGAAAGACTTTTTTTTTCCTTTTTCTTTTGGTGGACGACTTAGCAAATCTCTTCTTTTCCCCTCTTTTTGCAGCTTGAAGAACTTTTTTCTCGCGGATCTCTCAGACATAGTACATGAGCCTCTCCCTCGCCCCCACTTCGGAATATCGGTCCACAATCCCCCTCAGTGGTCTTGTCATCGTAACCTAGAACTTGACTAGTACTATGCTATGGTCTGCAGGCTCTAATGGACATGGCCAGCTAGCTAACGGCTCCCTCATCGACTCACATATCTTTTCTCCGTGCTCCTTCCTCGGTTGCTTGCCGGGAACGCTACCACAGAACCGCAAACTGGTCCATCTGGCCTTTGGCGCAAACCACACGCTGGCGCTGCTAGAATCCACCGAGCGCGACGGACAGAAGGTCACTGAACTTTGGGGCTGCGGGGACGGCAACGCAGGGCAGCTCGGGCCGTCCTTCATCGGCGAGAGCATCGCGACGTTCAGACCGCTCGATCTTCTGTTGGAACGCAATGGGCTCGCTGGCTACCTCCCACGCCTGGTATGCGCTTCATGGCAGACGACCTACGCCGTCATGTCGTGCCCGGCCATGCCGGACGTTCTCATCTCGATAGGCGCGAACGATTTCGGAGACCTGGGCATCGGTGCGATTCGCGCGAAGCCCGTGAGAGATTTCCATATCGTCGGCCTTGAGCATTTCTGCGCGGGCGCTGTTGCCGTGGCTTTGCTCGCCGCTGGCCAGCACCACGTCGTGGTCAGATTAGCGGGCGGCCCGATCGTCGGGTGGGGCACTGCGCGACACGGGCAGCTGGGCGCTGTCGAGACGCCATTCCTGCCGTCGCCCGCTGTCCTTACGCCCGCACGAGCCGACGTCATACACGCTGCACTGGGCCACCAGCACACCGTATTCCTGCACGCCGCTGGGACGGTCTCTGGCCTGGGCTCGAACAGGAAGCGGCAGCTACACGGCATCGGTAACCGCACGCGCGCGCGGAGCGTCGCCTGCACTTGGAACGGGACGTACATCACCACGGACGACGGTGATCTTCTGTCTACGGGGAGCAACGCCAACGGACAGCTCGGCCACGCTGACAGCGACGACGCCGTCGCATTTCCGTTCACCGCAGCCACGCATCAGCTATTGCACGTCGCGTGCGGAAGCGAGCACGTCCTAGCATCCTTCGCTGCCGGCCCTACGACAGAGGTCTGGGGATGGGGATGGAACGAGCACGGGAATCTGGGCGTGGGCACGACAGAGGACGTGCGCCTGCCCTGTAAAATCTGGCCTCCAGATTCATCTCAAGCTCAGAGCGGGCGCGTCAGCATCTGGGCCGGGTTAGGGACGAGCTGGATCGCAGTTCAGTCGCATTGAATCGGGGATGAGACGAGGATCAACTATCGCGAACACCACTCATACTATCTACAGCGCATCGTGGACGGGTTAGCGCATAAGAAGGAATGGGTGGTGTCCCTCCTCCCATACTGGGACCGCATCTTGTTTCCGACAACCCCCGCTACACCAACGGAACTGCAGGCAACCAGGACCTAGAAGGAGGCGAAGATGACGATGACCTATTTGCGTCTGCACCTGGGGCTGTCCCGACTTCTCCCCCACAGGTGCGTCGTCTTCACTGCCTTGTTCTCTCTATCAATCTGCTATCTAGACGAGCCCCGTCCCATCGCCTGCTCCCTCTCCCGCCCGCCGTTCCCCACGACAGCAGTCGACCTCGCCCCAACGCTCTCCTCGCACCAATCATCGGCGGGACCAAATCCAGGACCCCTCTCGGTCGCCTGTCAGATCGGCGGCTCGTCGCCAAGATCGCGACTCCTCCCGCGGATCAGCATTGCCCTCAGCAGTCGCGCGGGTAGTCGCAGGGTGTCTTCAGGCGCGCGATACCAGTGGTGGTGGCCGAACTCAAGTTGAATAAATGTAGTACAAATCAAATATATCATTTTCTATTTCTTTCTGGGATGATTTTTGCAGATCTTATCTATGTGAAAGGTCGACCAAAAAATGATGTGTCGTTAAAGGCGACCCGATCACAAGCTAGTAGAACCAGAGAAAAAGAAAAGAAATCGTGCGCAAAAAGGTGCCTATGGGGCAAGGCTATCGCGGGCCGCGTCACACGAACTCTCAACCCCAGTACGACCAGTACTGGATCACCCCGCGGCGGCGTGTCGCACTTCTTGACCGGCTCGCAGCAGTCTGTTTGTGCCTCCTGCGGGGTTCGAACCCGCTACGTCTGGTCAAGACGTCCCAGATAAATAACAACATTATCCGTTTGGCCACGGAGGCACTGATACAAAGCTTTTAGTGTAACATATGTGGGGTACGGTTTGGCAGTGGCGCAGGCGTGGTAGCTCGTCAGGATTATCGTGGCTGTGAAATATGGCACGAGATGGGCGGTGACCGGGACCGTCTAACACTTGAAGTTGCTTGCTCGCC